TGTCCCCCCCCCCCCCCCGGGGGTGCCTCTCTGTGGCCGTTGTGCGCTAGCAAGAGCCCTGCCTGGGCACTGGGGCGCCCAGAGGGCAGAGAACCTGAGAAGAGCCCTGCGGGAAGTGGACCGGCCTCACCCGGTGCCCAGCCAGCTCCTCTGGAGGGCCAACCGCAGGGCGTGGAGGCCGAGGCCTTCCCCTGACGGTGCCTCCTGACGCTGGGACTCAGAGGTCGACTGCCCCTGAAAGGGGAGGCTCTCTTCCGTTCCCATGGCTGGGATCCATTGACGGACCCCTCCCCCAGGAGTCTGCGCTTGCCCCCCCCCCTAAAGGCATCCGGGCTGGTGGGCGTCACTTCCCTGGCAGCGAGCGCCACAGTTACTGAACCTTGCAGAGTGAAGAAGTCTCGTCCCTTTTGTCTGCCTTAAACCTACTGCCCCGTCAGCTTCCTTGGATGCCCCCAAGTTCTAATGCTGCCGGAGAGGATGAGGAAGTTCTCTGCCAGCTTCCTCCGCCACAAGCGCCGTCTGATAAACCTCTATATGTCGTCCGCCCGCCCCCCCGCCCCCCCCCCCAGCTGCCTTCTCTCTAAGTGAAAAGCTCCAGGCTCCTCAGCCGCCTAGGAAGGCCCAAAGTCATGGCGGGGGCGGGGGGGGAGCTCTGAGCCACCACTGTGTGTGTCCCCTGCCCTGGGAGGTCCCCCCCCCCGCTGCCTTTGCCCTCAGGGGGGCCTCCCTGGCCAGTCCCAGGGGCTCCCTTGCCTGCGGAGAAATCCTGCTCCCCGCCCCAGCCAGTTGGTTTTGCTGATCTGTTCACTTCTTTCTGGTTTCGCCAAAGGGGGGGGGGAGATGGATTTTGGCACCATGAGGTGGATTTGGGTGGATCAGAAGGCAGGATGCAAAGTGTGGGCAAAGGGAGTGAATGGCGGCCCAGTGGAAGGGCCCGTCAGGCAGCCTCGACCCCCCTCCCGTCTCGGGCAGCTGGAGGGGCTCAGGCCCCTTCTAAAGCAGCACAGAGCAGGGGAATCTCTCTCTCTCTCTCTCTCTCTCTCTCTCTCTCTCTCTCTCTCTCTCTCTCTCTCTCTCTCTCGTGCGGAGAGAGAACAAAAGGGCAGCCCCTTCCCAGGACCCCAGGTGGGGGGGGGGCTTTTAGGGGCCACGGACGGAGACCCTGCAAGCAGCCTTCACTGAGTCACCCTTGGAGGACTTGTGGCAGCTCAGCCTTCCTGAGCCAGGGAGCTCCACCTGCCCACCCACCCACCTCGGTCCAAGTGACCCCCACTCACTTACAGAAAACGACAGACAGGCACCTTCCAGTTGGGTGTAATGGTTAGGAACGTGGACCCTAATCTGGGGGGAACCAGGTTTGATTCCCCACTCCTCCTCCACTTGCACCTGGCTGGATGACCTTGGGCGAGCTCTCCTCTCAAGGGCAGTTTCTGTCAAGAGCTCTCTCAGCCCCACTGCCTCCTATGGTGTCTGTTGTGAGGAGGGGAAGGGAAAGGAGATTGGAAGCCACTCTGAGACTCCTTCAGGTAGTGAAAGGCGGGGTATTAATCCAATCTCTCCTCCTCCTCCTCCTTCTCTTTTTCCAGCATCTCAGTGAATTGTGTGTCCCCCCCCCACTGTGAGCCTGGCCTCCCCCCCCCCCAATGTGTGCATCAGAGGCCTGTAGATCCCAATCTTCTTGTTGGCTGGATCTGAGGCCAGCAGAGACGGGAGGGACCCTTCTGGGTGGGGCAGCTGCTCTGGGAGGTTGTTTTATTTGGGGGATAACTGAGCCGAAGGCCCCCCCCCTCCCGTCCATGTTGCCCATTGTGGTGCTGTGGCACAGGGCTCGTGTGTTTTGGAAACAGACATCCGCTGGCCGGCATTCCCATGGCCGAGTGGGTGGGTCCAAGACATTCGCCTGAGGTTGGGTTTGGCTGCAGCTGCCGGCCTGGGGTCAGTGAAGCAGGCGGGGTGGGGATTTGCACGCGCCACCTTCAGGCACCATACCCCACCCCACCCCTGGCACCAGTCAGTGAGCCCCTCCCCTCGTGGGGATGGGTGCTGGCAGCCCGCTGCAGCCGAGCACACCCCCTCCTGCTGTCTTGTAAGGGCGGAGTCACACCTCCATGGCTGGCTGGCAGCACTGTCCTCCAGGGCTCCCCTCCACCCGCGGCTGTTGTGGCCCAGCAAGAGCGGACCCTCCGGGGAACGGCTGTCCGGCTTCCCCAGCTCCAGGGTTCCCTCTCAGCTGAGTGAGTGTGAGCCAGCTCACAGTTTTTTTAGCCTCCCGCTCATGCGTTTTTGTCTTCGCTCAGGGAGGAGGGCTCCAGAGCAAACTAATTTACACAGCATACCAATCGCTCACTGACAGCTTCAATGCCAGGAGCTCACAAAGTAGAATGTTTGCTCACAAGACTCCACAGCTGAGAGGGAGCATTGCGCATCTCTGCTGCCCACGGAGCTCGGACAGGGACAGTCCTAGACCGGTCAGCAGCAGGCCCTCTGCATAGGAAGCCCGGACTGTGCCAGACGTGGACTTGGCGGCGCTTCCCCTCTCATGCATCTCACACTGGGGGGCTGGCTTGGTGTGTTCCTCCGACCGTCTCCTGGAGGCCCCACCCCTGAATGGTTCCGACTTCCTCCTGGCAGGGGTGAGGAGGGCAACTCATAGAATCATAGGATGTCAGAGTTGGAAGGGACCTTGCAGGTCATCAAGTCCAACCCCCCTGCACTCTGCAGGAGCAGAGCCGAAAGACGGCCCTACAACCAGGGGAGTGCACAGGGGTGGTGCTCCGGCAGTAAAGAGCCCAGGGGGCGGCACATGAAACAAGCCCCACCCTCTGCTCCCAGTAGCCCTCAGTCAGAGCAAGAAGCAGCCAGGTAAGTTGCAGAGCCCCCCTGCCCCCCCCGATCCAAAACAGTCTAGTGGCACCTTTGAGACCAAGTTTTATTCAAGTACAAGCTCTCCCTCCTCTGTGAGGACAGACCTGCACGTCCCCCCCCCCCAATAGCTAGCCATCCAAAACAGTCCAGTGGATCCTGAGTGGTGGGTGTTGCCTTCTGACACACTTCCGGTGACATCAGGGGGCGTGGCCTATGCAAATGAGTCGTGCTAATGAGCTCCTGCACCTCTTTTTCTACGAAATGACCCCTGCCTACAACATACCCGAAGGATGGCCGCCCGGTCCTGTGCTTGATATCTTCACAGGATGCTTGGGGTGGGTCTGTGGGATGAGGGGGGGTGGCAGGGGTCCTTGTCGGGGAGGGGGGGTTTGCAGGTGGGTCTGGGCAGGGCTGGGCCAGGCCCCCATGAAGGCCTGCCGCTGAGTCAAGCCACCCGCGGTGCTTCTGTGTGTTCCAGACAACCACGGGAAAGTGTCCAGAATGTCCCTCCAGATCCGCATCCTGGATGTGAACGACAATCCGCCTGAGCTGGCCACCCCCTACGAGGCACCCGGAGCGGCGGGAGGGAGGGAGGGGGCGGGCGCTCCGGTGGTCGGAGACTCTTCTGCATTGCGTGGCTCTGACGGCAGGCCGTGGCGGATCTCCCCAGACCCTTCCCTGCACGGTCCCTGCCTCGGATCCCCGTGGCCAGCCCCCTCGGGGGAGGGCTCTCGTCGAGAAAACCGGGAGTCGCTAGATTGCCCGGGCCTGACCTCGTCAGACCTCGGGAGCCAAGTGGGGTTGGCCCCGGTTAGTCCTCGGGTGGGAGGCCCCCGGGGGAGCCCAGGGCGGCTGCGCGGAGGCAGGCGAGGGCAAACCCACCTCCGGGCGTCTCTCGCCTTGACCTGGACAGCCCACGCTTGGCCAATCGTGACCGATCCTGGGAACTAAGCAGGGTCAGCCCTGGTGAGTGACTGGGGTGGGAGGGGGAATCCCACAGGGGCCACGCAGAGGCAGGCGAGGGCAAACCCACCTCTGGAGGTCTCTGGCCCCGGCCGGCCCCATCTCGTCAGGCCTCGGAAGCCGAGCGGGGTCAGGCCTCGGTAGGACCTGGGTGGGAGACCACCGAGCAAGACCACCTCTGGCCTTGGAAATCCCACGATGGGCACCGGAGGTCGGCGGCAACTGGACGGCCCTTCCCAGCACAACCAGGCCGCGGCAGCCGTAGGCTGTGAGGGTCTCTGGCCGGGCTGGCTTAGCGCAAAGAGCCACACAGGAGCCACATCAGGGGTCCGAGAGCCACAAGACAGGAGCAAATAAGACACACACATATTTTCACTGGGAAATATGCACATTTGCTTTTTATTGACATTAAATAAGACTGCCAGAAAAAAGAACGGAAGGAGTGAAAGCAGATATTGATAATGACAGAATCCTAGAATCCTAGGATGTCAGAGTGGGAAGGGACCTTGCAGGTCATCTAGTCCAACCCCCCCCTGCACTCTGCAGGAGCAGAGCCAAAAGATGCTTTCTCCAAGCCGGCCGGGGGTGGGTGGGGGCCTTGAGAACACATTTAAAGTCATGGCTGCTTTCTTCCTCTGCTCCTGGCTCACCTCAGGCCTACCCAGAGAGGGGAACACTGTGCTGGGGAAGGGAAGACTGTGCCCCCCCTTCACGTCCCCCACCACCCCGCCAGGAGCTCCCGAGCCACAGTTTGGCCACCCCTGGTCTATTGCCACCCTCTGTTATGGCAGCAAAGCGGGGGGGGGGGAAGCAGGAAAGATAGAGGGTGGTGCTCCCCGTAACAGCAGGGTGGTAAGGAAGCCAAGGCAGAAACAGCCGGGGGGAGGGAGGGAGAAGGAGCAGGGGGAGAGAGCAAGACCCCCTCCCCCCTTGGTAGGCCTTTTGCAGCGGCTGCTCCCCTGGGGCTGGGCGGGGGGTGGGGGTGGCAGCGCTGTGCATTCCTTACTCTTCCTGCTGTGAGGCTCCTGGAGAGACCTGGCTGGGAGGGGGGGCTAATCCTCCTGCCAGCCCCCCCTGCTCTGGGAGAGATCCCGTTGGGGCAGGGTCCGTGGAGGGGGGCAGGCCGGGCCTATCCCCCCCCCCCCCCCCCCCCCCGCCCACATCCTCCCGCC